CTTTATGGCTGGGTTAGCTCAATATCTTTCGCTTTTTGAATTAATCATCATCATGTTGATCGCCTGAAGCTTACAACTAGATCCATTACATTACAGATTTCCCGATCTGTCCATTGTAATGCGAGTAATGGCACTTTTGTGGATGAACGTTGCAATAGGGATAATACTACTAACCCTGAGGCAACCAGCCAAAACCCAATATGAGGTAAGCAAACTGTGATTTCCTGTTCTTTATAGTAATCTTCGAATGCATTTATTTTGCTTTAGTAGTCATGAAGGAGTGAAGTAAGAACGAAAAAAGACGCTGAATAATAACATTCGCCTCAAACTTGTTTTGGCGAAGTTATAAAATCTATAGGACACAATACTGAATGTTTTGAAAGTATATCGTAGCATGAGAACGATAAGACTAAAGCAACATATGCTATAAGTCCGGAAAGAACAATAACAATGGTGATTTTTAAAACAGAAAAACGAAACCATTATTAGGTGTCGATCATATTTTGGAAAGCAACCTCATAATATTCAAGCCGTGTCGTTAAAAACCCGAATACTATCTATTCTATGAGAGGTTGTCTGAAAAGATTTCTTCAGAATCATCGCTACTAGACTGCTCAAAGCCTTAACTTGTATTTCTTGTACGCCTCCTATAATTATGTGCTCTTCGAGCACGAAAGTTGACTTCGGGTCATGACATATATCGCTGAATCAGTGTTTCAAAAAAACTTACTGACCCATTTCGCTCCCGTCAGCAAACGTTTTGCACTGCAAGTTAAACTTCAATGAGCTATCATCTCTGAACACTTTTGCAGCAAGATAATCGCCATCATTGCAGTATGTCATGTTCATGTTGATTATATACAGAAATCTGAATCGACTCTTGTGTTACACCATCTTGATTTGAAACTAACGTAGTCGCTCATCAGCTCTATCGCAAACCTACCAGAACCTTAGCGTGATGAAATCAAGATGGTAGACATAATATTTGTAATGTTTTGAATGTTGGTACTTGGTTCTGACGTGTACCCATAAGTCATGTGTGATAAGGCGGAGCGCTACCAAAATAGTTTGTGTCTAAAAACCTAGTCAAATCTTGTTCGACCATC